TAACTGAAATCCAGTGCATATCCTAGTCAGTGTAATAAAAACCCTCTGTGAAGCTACACTGGAGTGTTTATGCACCCCGTGGGCAGTTCAGATGGTCTTGGGGAACTGACTAATGCAAGATGCTTTCTGTCTAGCGCAGCTTCACAGACACCAACGCCGCTCTTCAGTAACTCGCAAGGAAGTGTTTAAATCGCATCACGTCAACGAGCAACGCATCTCCACGATATGGGGGGCATTGCTTCTAAAGCCGCAAGCGACAAAGAGTTTTTACTGAACGATTACTCCCAGAGTGTTACCGACGAGCCCGGCGTTCGTGACTGTTTCCGCGGCGCCGACACAGCCACAACAAAACTTCTCTTTGCGGATCTGTGCACGACTTGTTACCTCTCGCAGAGAAAAATGCAGAAGTCGGTCACCCCTTCCGAGCCCCGGGGCGAGTATGAAACCCAAGGGGGTCCCCTTAAGGCTCAAACTACCCCGTTACCCCTGCGGGGCAACACTGACAAACTGTGGCCGGGGGATCCCTGCAGCTCACTCGCCGCCATCAAACTGCTCTGGCCGGTGGGACCCTGGGTGGACCCCGGCTGCCGCCGGTCCCGTCCAGGCCCGGACCGGACCGGACCGGACCGAGCCGAGCCGAGCCGAGCCGAGCCGGACCGAACTGGGGCCCGGGCCCGCTGCTTGGACCGCGGTGCCACGCCACCAGGCCTGCAGCGCCTCCTCGCTCGGACGGGACCCAGTACCCTGACTGGGAACCTGCCGCCGCCCGGCTGCAGCAACAGGAAAGTTGATCCGCGAAATAACTCACCTGATTGAGCTCATTCTCCGCGGCCACCCGCAGGCTCGGATCTATCGTCCCTTTCAGCGCCTGGATAATCCGATTCGGATCCATCTGGCTTTCTCCTTCCGAGCCGCGGCGGAAAACGGTCCTCGCAACAATTATCGTCGGCGTTCAGCACACTCAGCCAGTGTCTGTGACACAGCCCTGCCCCATCCTACCGGTAATCAGCAGGCGGCAGTCGCAAACGCGAAGAAAAGGCAACCTTTTTTACGGCTGGCGGTGGGCTGGGCCTGCTCCTGGGGGCAGACATATCGTACGGCAAGCGCGCCGGGCTTTACGGCAAGTGGGTTTCGGTCCTGCCCCCGTCTGCGTTCTGCGCCTTTTGCAGTACGTTCGTCATGTTTCAGGTACTCTGTAACCCTGATGTGTGCTAAATCTACAGCACGAGTAAGAAAGACTAAACGAAAAGAGTCCAAAAACAAGTTCCAACTGCCAAGACGACGTTTTATTAAAAGTAGGAACCGTTATAAACGAGAATAATAATAATAATTATAATTGCTTACACTTACATAGCGCTTTTCTGGACACTCCACTCAAAGCGCTTTACAGGTAATGGGGATCCCCTCCACCACCACCAGTGTGCAGCCCCACCTGGATGATGCGACAGCATCCATAGTACGCCAGAACGCTCACCACACACCAGCTCTCAGTGGGGAGGAGAGCAGAGTGATGAAGCCAGTTCATAGATGGGGGTTATTAGGAGTCAGTGATTGTGAAAGTACAATGGGAAATTTGGCCATGACGCCGGGGTTACGAGAAGAGGCTATTTGGCCCATCTAACCTGTTTGGAAGGTGGTAGCCAATTGATCACAGGATCTCCTCCAGCTGGTACTTGAAAGAAAACAGGGCATCAGCCTTAACAATGTGGCTGGGTAGCCTTTAGCTTGTTCCACACTCCCACCACCCTTTATGTAAAGAAGTACCTTCTGTCTCCCTGTTTTAAATGCACTTCTGCAGTTCTCACTTCTGTCCTCTGGCCCCCCGTTTCACAGCTCCTTCTGAAGAAATCTGCTTGGCTGTGTTTGTCAGTGCCATTGAGGATTCTGAATTCTTGAATCAGATCCCCTCGTAATCTTCCCTGCTCAGGTCTGAAAGGGCTCTGTTCCTTCGGCCTGGGGAACTACAAGGGGTCTGTTCTTTAACCTGGGCATCTTCCAGACAGTTCATCCCATGACTGGATGTCATTTCGCCTCTGTTCATCAGTTCATTGAACTCATAATCTGGGCGTTAAGTCATATGACCTGGTTTTTATAAATTGCTCGTTTTAAAAGTACCTGTAGAATGTCTGGGACACCAGTGACCCCTGGGAACCCCACCTTTTATCAACTACAAAGCTGTCGACACTGTTTCATGTTTTCATAATCTGCAGAAGACTTTTGATTTACTGATTGGTTTGTTGTTTACTTTTCTGTCATTCACAGGTTTGCCCTTAATTCAGTCTTCCTTGTAATTTCACACTTCTGATCTGGGGCTGCTGGTGCAGAATGGCCGCTGTGTGTCTCCCAGGAGGGGCTGCTGGTGCAGAATGGCCGCTGTGTGTCTCCCAGGTGGGGCTGCTGGTGCAGAATGGCCGCTGTGTGTCTCTCAGGAGGGGCTGCTGGTGCAGTGAGGCCTCTGTGCGTCTCCCAGGTGAACATTCAGCAGCATCCTGGTTCAGACAAACGACCAATGAGCTCCTCAAGTTGGGAGGATGACTATAAAGAATCAATAAAAAGCAGGATCTATCTCTTTCCACTTTGATGTCCACTCTTAGCAGATCAGCAGGTGTGAGCCTGGTCAGTACCTGGATGGGAGACCTCCTGTTGAAGCTGGAAGAGGTGTTAGTGGGGCCAGTAGGAGGCGCTCACCCTGCAGTCTGTGAGTCTAATGCCCCGCTATAATGACGGAGACACTATACTGTAAAAAGGCACCGTCCTTCGGATGAGACATACAACTGAGGTTCTGACTCTCCATGGTCATTAAAAATGCCAGGGCGTTTATTGAAAAGAGTAGGGGTGTTATCCTAGTGTCCTGGCCAAATCCCCCCCCCCCCACTGGCCTTTACCAATCATGACCTCCTAATAATCCCCATCTCTGAACTGGCTTCATCACTCTGCTCTCCTCCCCACTGAGAGCTGGTGTGTGGGGAGTGTACTGGTGCACTCTGGCTGCTGGCACATCATCCAGGTGGGGCTGCACACTGGTGGTGGTGGAGGGGATCCCCTTTACCTGTAAAGCGCTTTGAGTGGAGCGTCCAGAGAAGAGCTATATAAGTGTAAGGAATTATTATTCATTCATTTGTGCAGAGAACCTCCGTCCCCCGTTAGTTTTCCTTCAGTGACATTTGCACCCTCTAGTGGAAACTAACACTACAATTGCTCACCATCCGCTGGATGACCTGAAATTCCTCGGTTCTCAATAAAACAGGCCACGCAGCACAGTGAAAACCTGTACTGTCACCTTTCATTCACTCCAAAGGTTTTCCCTCCCCTCTGTGTAGTCCATCTTTTTTAAACTCATTCTGTTACAAAGCTGTGTACACTGGCACAGCAGCCACAGTGGCACAAGACCACATATCTGGCCCAAAACCCAAGGAGGGAGTTCCTCCACCTTTTGTACGATGGACTCATGGACGACGTACACCAGAAATCACATGGCCTGAATTGCCCTGAAGCACAAGTCGTAAAAAAACAAATTCTGCGTCTTCTTGTTGTATTCTGCTTTTACAGTTTTTTGTCAGTTGCTCAAGTGTCCTTTCTGGAGGACAATGCCTGCGGTACCTGAGCCTTCTCCTTAGGAGCCGATAGCTCAACACAAACCCCGCTGCTCCGAGGACACGGGCACGTCCTCTGGGCCACGTCGCACTGCTGTGCTGACCGGGGCAACTGGGTAAACGGTACTTCCGACGGGTGAAAAAATGTAGCAGTTGTATCACCCCAAGAAGTCACCTTCTCAGACTACAATACACTTATAAACCCATCTGCCCCTGATAGGTTTCATCTCCTGCACTACATCACCCCTCCTTCCTAATGGCAGTGACCCATCCTGCCACTCTATCCCAGCTAGCAACATTCCCTGGCTCATTAACGGCCTTCGAAACCTCCAGGAAAGCCAACACCATGGCAAACCTCCCTCACCCAAGACTCAGGCCTGGTTTCACACCTTCCACAGGGGAAGGAACTCCCAGGCACTGCAATGGGAATTTTACCTCATTTTCACTTATTGAACACCCATCTACCCATTCCTCCCCCCCAGTGCTTCATTCAACTCAGGGTTGTGGGAGAGTCAGAACCTCTCTAGGCAAGTCACAGGCTCAAGGCAGGATCCACCCTGGGTGGGACACTAGTCCACCGCAGGGCGGACACACACTAGGGCAAGTGCATCTTTGAGGAAACAGGAGCAGCTGGAGAGAGCCCCTGTGGACAAACTCCACACAGATACAGCAGCACCCCAGCGCAGGAACTGAACCCAGGGTTGCAAGGCAGCAATGCTAAGCACTAAAACTACCGATCTAGCATGTTCCATGTGTTAAAATACAGCTCAAAGTTACTTTACGCTTGATCTGTAAAGCAAAGGCCACTTTTGCCATTGTTGTAATTGAAAGACAAATGAGGAGTCTGGTGCCCAGTAGAGATTGGACAGCCACTCACTGAAATCAGTCAACTTGAAGACATCAAAAACAAGCACCTCCAGGACAAGGAGCTGTAACCCTCACTCGCTCTCATGGGCTTCCAGGAGACTTACAGGTAGTCTGCAGTTTATCAAGAGGTCACATGCCTGAACTCCTTTGTAGCCACCAACAGCGGACCTCTCCTTCAGCAGGTCATAAGCACGGGCATGGTGACAGAAGCCCTCAGAAACCAGTGCAGATTAAAGCGGTCAATGAGCCAACATTACAACGGACCCCACAAGTTCCAGTGGACTGCAGCAAACACTGCATAGTACTTCACTAGCAGTCTCAGCCCCATTTGGAAGTGGGGAGGGGAAGGTAGGTAAGAGTGCTGCAACATGAGTGCCAGAAGCCAGATGGGTCAGTGTGTGGTTTTATCACCAATTCATACAGAGAACAGACCGCTGACAGACTCCAACAGCAGAACAGTTTCCTCAGTCACACAGACAGGGGAATGGGGCCACACCAACCGTTTTGGCAGCTAAATGTTGATCAAAGAACAGACTCATGAACTGCGCAATAGTTTATTTAGGCACAACGAGGCACTGTAATTAGCCCATTTCAGAGCAGATTCATCAATAAGGTAGTTACCAGCTAGACATGTACACAGCTTTTTGCAGTGAACAGATACAGACATTCACAGCTTAAGTCTCCCACTTCCAACCAAAAAGCAAGGCAACAATGAAGTCTTATAAAGTGCTCAGTTAGTCATTCTAACTACACCTCCCCAGTCATCACACAACACCCAGTCATTCAAGGCACCATTTTGCATGCCCTCCAGCTCAACACCGGACTTTTGGAAAATGTTCAGAAGTTCATTTAAAAAAAAAAAAAAAAAAGAATGGGCACATCCCAGAAAAATGAACTTGCTGGCCTTACATGAACTGCAGCTTGTTCCACACAAGTGGCACCTGTGTGTATCCAACCCTACAGAATTAAAAGAGGACATTTCTGGCTTTAAAAGAAAGTTGGGGGTTTGTGCACAATTCACATGGGCCTCCACAGCAGGGAGGTCGAAGTTCGGTCTCGGCCACGGTGCAATTGCACCGCGGAGATGGTCAGCTCACGTCGGCTGCCCGAGACCGCACAGTAGCCGCTAGTGAAAGCGACGGGGGAGAGAGAAAAGGAGCACGAACCCTGAAACTAAACCTGAGCATCTCAAAACTGGGAAGAAAGAAAAACCTGGGCATGCAGTGTTTCACTACACGGCATAAAGTGCTAGTGTTCGAGTGCAAAGCAACGTCCCCAGCCCTCCCGACGCCTCAGTCCTGGTACAGGAGGTAACCCGAGAAGGTGGAGTACTTCCAGCTGCTGCCATAGATGGCGCCGCGGTGCAGCCGCAGCCAGATCTGGTCCCCCTGGTACAGCTGCAGCACGGCGTGGTTGCTGGCCGTCTCGTGGTCGGGCGCGCCGTCGTTGGCGTAGGCCGACACCATCACCTCCTCGTTCCTCATCAGGTTGACGTACAGGGGCACGTTGACGGCCAGCTTCAGGATGTGGAAGATGAAGACGTAGGTGCCGTTGACCGGGCAGGAGAAGCGCCCCAGCTGCATGTCGAAGGTCTCCCCGAGGTTGTTGAGCAGCAGGTCGAAGACGATGGGCTGGTCCAGGGTGCCGGGGGCGAAGTTGGAGGTGCGGGCGGCCGAGAAGGCGACGCGCATCTGCTGAGGGAGGGGGTAGACGTGCACGGGCATGAGCGTGGCCCCCGGGGCGCTGACCGGGACGTCGATGGGCGTGATGCAGCGCGAGTCGCCCTGGCCCGAGTCCACGCTGGCGAAGGTCTCGTTGTCCCGCTCCGGGCTGCTCACCTGCGAGGAGTCGCTCCAGGTGGCTGAGGAAAAGAAGGAAGGCAGGGCTTCCGAGAGCAGAGTAGGGCTCAACCCCCCCAGATTACTGAACCCCTCCCCCCTTACCAGCTGCAGGGGTCATGCTTGGAGCTGGTCACCTGGACTTGGGGGGGAAGGCTCTGAGAATCCTACCCTTCTCCACATAACCACCCTTGTTCTATTTCTGCAGCCTTTGACTGCCAGTAAAGCTAAAATTGCTAAAGATTTGTACTTAAACCATACATCAGATCCCAGCTCTCCGCACTGCTGCTGCAGAAGTTCAAATGCAGTCTAATGTTGAGGCACTGAGTTTTACAGTTACTGCTTCTGAGGAAAACCAGCAAGACATACCAGGTCTCTATCCTGCTACTGATCAGGGCTGATAGAGCTCCAAGATATTCCATGAAAGACTAGAAAAGGCTGTTCATGCTCTCTACCTACTGTACAGCACACCAGCACTACCGGTCATCTCCAGCTCGGAGACCTGAACGCACATCACTCCAGGTGTTCCCACTCTGGGTATTGCAACTTCAGGGGTTTACACCTGTACAAGACCTCACATGCTGCTGAAAGTGTACTGTAGCATTAGACATAATCCAAGTTACAGATGCCAAGGATTTTACAGCACAATTAGGCTAAAAAGTACTAGACCAAGTATGTATTAAGCTTAAAGTCAAGACAGCAGATCAGTACAGATAAAGACACATTAGACAATTGTAAAAAGTTATGGTATGCAGCTGTCCCTCCATGAAGGAAATGGAAAGCTTGAGTTCAAGGCATGTTGTGGATTCCTTTCCCCTTTCAGATCCGCCCACTTACTCAACTACCAAGAGGTAGATGGCACTCATCAGGTGACCCATTTCTCAGAGACGGCACGTTTCCAGAAAAAGTTAGTGCTGGGGCTACTCCTCCCAGTTCAGTTATTCTGGTACAGTGTCCTGCCCACTTTGAACCTTCCCCCCTCTTGCTCTGTAGAGGAAGACCGCGAGGACTACGCCACCTGCTCATCCCGTCGACCCCTACCTCTCGAGCTGGCACGCTGCCCAGTCAAGCCTCCACGTTTATAGTTCTGCTGGAACCCCGATTCCTTAAAAGAAAAGCAAAGACTCAGGTCTTGTTCCCAGGCTTTTGGCAACAAGATTCCTGAAACAGGGATGCAGTATAGAGCCCAGGAGGGGCCATCAGTAAGAAAAAAAAGTAACATTGCAGGAACAATTCGTTCCCTCCTTCTCTTTCATTCATGCACACAATTTTCCTTTGTTTCCTGTGTCATGGTAGATGCACGTACATGGAAAGTCTCTAAAACACCAGCATTATCCCCTGCTCCAAGCAAACGCTAGTTAATCGTTCCCTCAATATAATCCCCCCCCACTGATGGCCCCTCCCAGGCTCCATAATGCAGAGCTAAAGATTAGGACTTAATTCTGATCTAGTGAATCAAGACATTTCACAGGCCTCCCATTTCTAGACAAGCTCCTGGAACCCAGAGTGCAACAGCTCTGCCACTGGACAGGGGTCAGACATTACTGGCTTCGGCATATGAAGACTAATGGATGTGCTGCATATTCCTATCAGCTTAATTATTGTATTGGAGGACTATCTGCATGACCTGCCTGTTGGAGACTACAGTTGGCAGGTCTGTTCCAATAAGACTGCAGGTGCGAATGCAAACACTTTGCTCCTGTTATAAAAGCAAAAGGCTTCCTCTTCTGTGTCAGCAGCACAACTGCAGGACCTTCTGCACCTCAAGACTCCACTACTGGCTAAACCACGATTTAGAGTCTCGTACAGATGAATCAGTTCACTTAATCTTCCCCCACCCACGGCTCGGGCAGGTCAAATTAAGTTTGACAGACGAAGCCAGGACCACTCCAGCTGAAGCAGTAGCAGTGGGGAGGGACGGTTCCGTACCCTGGCACCATACAGGATAGGTGTACATTCTCTGGCGGGGTACGACGGTTGAATGAAGTTCCCTCCAGGAGATGGCATGCCGTTTTTGTAACTTTCAAATCCTCCTGAAGTGGAGAAAGGAAGAATCACAACACTGAATCCACCTGAGCCACATGTTTCAAAGTCTCACATTGAGCACCGGTAATTAAAAAAAACTGGAATTCACCACCACTCATCACAATGTTGTAAGAAGTCTTATCCTGTAGCCTGGGGCTCTTTTCTGGCACCTGGGAGGAACTGCTAGGTCATAGAGCTCTCCAAGAGACCGCAGAGCTCCAAAAGCTAGCTGCTGGGGAAAGAGCCAAGGGCTCATTTTCACCCATTACACCAGTGCCAAAGCCCTGGAAAAAGGCCTTTTCTATTCAAGGTGGACTCTACAAGTCTACAATTCCTGCCTGGATCGGGTAATGTCCAAATGAATAAAATAGGACAAATTTATCAAGCAGTACATGCACATTTTAATGCATCTGTCATTTAGATTCTGGTATGATTCGTTTGTTTTCAACAAAATTCCCCAAATTAGGAAGATCAGCACACTGAAGCAGCAGCAGCAAGAGAAAACTGACAACTGGGCAAAAGCCTGGAAGATGGTTTCTAATGTGGACAAGCGCAGGGTTTCAGATCAGAGGCAGGCAGCTTGTGGAAGACCTAGAAGTGCCCCTTCTCAGTTAAGTGCATTTCCAGTTTCCACTTATACCCTGGTTTGTTTTGAATACCTGTAATCGGGTCCCGTGGTAACCTTCACTATTCGTGAACAAAGGCACAGGCTGTAGGAACTCAAATCTTGTTGCTATTCTCTAGCCAGATCTCACAGCACAAGTTTAGAACATGGTGACCATTATCTCATTTAGACTAGGGTGCATCTTACTGGTATTGTATAATTGTCACAACCCTCAACATAAAATCATACCATGCTAATATTGTCCTTTTTAATTACTTCCATACATTAACACATGTAGAATATTCAAATCTCCTCTAGCACTCTGCTCCCCATATTGCATTAATTCTTGATTAACTACCCACACTCAATACCCCACACTTCTCTACATTAAAAGGTCATCTGCCAGGATTTCTTCCATCTGCTGGTTTTTCTTTGTTAATCTTCCTAATGTACCCTCTTATTCCTGACTTTGGATCACCAATATAAAAAGGTCCTAGTAAGGATCCATGTGGTCCTCCACTAATTACATCTTCCCAATTGGAGGGCGTCAGATAAGTGGGTGAATCCTCTTATTAACAATAGTCCCCAATCCAACCACCCATGTCAGTCAATGTCTACCCCACGTTGTTTGTGAACTGATCTTTTACAAGGAAATTCTTAAAAGCTCTCTGGAAAAAGAAAAAAAAAAATCACCATTTCATGCCTTGAGTACGTAACATCTATTACTGCTGCTTGTTAAAAGAACAAATGTTTTGGCAGGCAAGACCTACTTTCTCTAAATCCAGTTTCCTAGAAAACATCCATATAGACAACTCTCTCATTTAGTTCTTACAATTGTTTCCATTGCAGGAAAGGTAATGGAAGCCAGACTTGAACTACAGACCAGCTTCTTGTTTCCGTTTGTGATCCTTCTTAGGGCTGAACACTGCCTTGGGAAGTCTCCGGGCCTGTGGGCAGTGCTGCATTGAACGATTCAGAAGCTGCGAGTCTGGCTTCCTCATTGCCACTTCCACTGGCAAGATGCCATCACATTCTAAGGATTTACCTGAAAGGTCTCCTCTATACTTAGACTATCCTGTCCAGTACTTTGTCGTCCCCCCCCCCAGTTACAGGAACATGTCAATGTGTTTATTCAGTTTTGAAGGCACCATGACAAGCAGCCCTTAACATGTGATCAATGTAGAGGTTTTGCACGCTGTATTCAAACAGTCTCTCCCCTCCCTCCCCACTGAGGGCCTTGGTGTTGCACTTTGAATACTGTATATGTACACAGGCGGACAACTTGAAAGGTCTGCCCTTAGATCACAGGCTCGTATGACTGAACACTGCTCAATTCTCCATTTTCACAAAAACAGTTAAGGTGTTGCCATTAGCAGTCACAACCTCCCTGCCATCAC